GACTTTCTACCCCCACCAGGACATCACACAAGCGATAAACACCCGATGACACAAAGTGCCACCATGCCGATGAGGATCGCCATGGAGAGGTCCCAGAAACCGCGTTCAGACAATTGGCCATATTTATGGCCTGCCTATATTGCGGCCCCCGGCAAAAACCAGGGTGGAGCTTCAAATTTAAAAAAATTATCCTGAAAAGGACGATAGAAATCATTGGGTACATTGCTTATTAAATTTAATGGGTACATTGCTTATTAAATAAATATAACCAGAATATACTTTAAACTGTATATAAGCTCACAAGTTAGGAATGAACCTGTTCTGGGTCTTCTGTTTCGCTTTCTGCAGCTGCTTCTTCTTATTCTACGATTACTGTTGACAAAAATATCAACATTGTGATCGTCATTATCATCATCATCATTATCGTCATCGTTAACAACGTCATCGTCGTCACTAGCATCATAAGCTACAACCATCATCTTTATATTTTACCAACTACCACCGCCACATTATTGTCATCGTCGTCATTATCATTATCATCATCACCAACACCACCATCATCATCATCATCGTCACTAGGACCATTTCTACCACCATCATCTTCATTTTTTAATAACTACTACCAACACCACTATCATCAACATCGTCATTATCATCATCACCAACATCACCATCATCATCATCACGATAATAACCACCAACATTACTTAATGATGTCCCTCACCTACATACCACATACATTGCACCTCCCACTTGGACTACAGGTTACAGTGTAACTGCAGGAATCATCATTATCATCAATTCTCCCTACGCCTAGTGGCACATGAGTCTTCCTGTCCTGTACTTCAGTGCAGTTGTCCATGTCAGAGATGCCGCACTCAGGTCACTTTCCATCCCTCGTCTCCATATTGTTTTTCCGCGCCCTTTTTGTTCTCTTTCTCTCTGGTATCCATGTGAGAGCTGTTTGGGCAGGTATATTAGGATTTTTTTTCATAACGTGGATAGGCCATTTCAATCTTCTCTTGGTTATCGTACTGTGTAGAGTTTTTTGGTTGTGAATTTAAGTAGTTTAGTGTTTGAGATTATATCTGGCCAGAAAATTTTGATAATTCTACGTAGACATGTGTGGTGAAACGTGGATAGCTTGTGTGTATCCTTTTTGGTCATTCTAGCATTCCCCTCCATAAAGAAGAAATGGCAAAATGATGCTCTTGTAGAGTCGGAGTTTCGTTCATCTGCAGTAACTGTTGGATTTCCAGATTTTCCTCATCCTTCCAAAAGCAGCTCTAGCTTTTCAGGAGTGTTATTTGAACTGCAGGAATGCCCTAATATAAATCTGTCATAAGGCTGAATGAGGTTTCCGAGATTGACTCCTGTTTGATTCTCTTCTTGGGGTGTTCATTTAACGGAAAACATTTCTGGAGGGAAGCAGTGACTATCATTATACCTAAAATAAATCGTAGTCATCATCACTACCGGAATAACCTTAATTACCAGTGTCGTAATAATCATCAGTATCAGCAAAACCATTACCTCTACCACTAACATCATTATCATTATCGCCACCACATCATCATCATCAAGACCATGATCATCATCATTATCATCATTACCATCGATAATCATCAACATCATCATAATCACCATCATTATCATCATCATCATCATCATCATCACTTTCATCACCACCGAAATCAATCTATCACCTCTATCACTGTCACTAATAAGACTAACACAGTCACGTGATGTTGTTGAAGTTTTTCCCATGAAAATGTGATTACTTGTGCAATGTTTAACCTTCAAGCGTTTATGATTGTTGCTTATTGTACATATCATGTAATAAAATTGTTAACTGTA